AAAAAAAAAAAAAAAAAAAATTACAAAAATGAATACCCATTCCTGGCAGAAGCTTGAAAAGTATACAAACATATAACAAGGAAAATAAAAATAGTAATTCCATTGAAGTGGTTTTTTGTTTGTTTGATTTTGAGATAAAGATTTTACTATAATGACTAAGCTTATCTCAAACTACTGGGCTTAAGTGATCCTCCTACCTCAACCTCCTGAGCATTTAAATATATGTGGGGTTTTTTTGTTTTTTGTTTTTTTGAGTTGAAGTCTCACTCTGTTACCCAGACTGGAGTGCAGTGGCTGCTCCTGGCCACCGCAGCCTCGACCCACTGGGCTCTGGGATCCTTCCGCCTCAGCCTTCCAAGTAGCTGGAGCTACAGGCGCACCCTACGACGCCCAGCTCATTTTGATTTATTGTAGAGGTGAGGTCTCACCAAGTTGCCCAGGCGGATCTCGAACTCGCGGGCTCAGGCAATCCACTCACTTCAGCCTCCCAAAGGCACGGGATTATAGGCTGAGCCACCAAGCCCGGCTTAAATATATGTTTTTAAAATAGAAAGTTTTTATCCTGATGTTAAAGAATATATAGGTAAAATACTTGTTGGTTAAAGGTTATGGTAAATAGAAGGTTACTTAATGAGTTCAAATTGCTGAAATGTGTGTAGAAATAGGAATTTCAGAGTCTCTTGTTAGTCTTAGAGTCCGCCTTATCTGTTTATCTTAAAGTTGACTTCTCTCCCTTTCTGGAGAATTTTAGGAAACTTAAATTACTTTTTTTTTTTTTTTTTTTGAGTTGGAGTCTCACTCTGTCGCCCAGGCTGGAGAGCAGTGGCACACTCACGGCCACCCCAGCATTGACCTGCTAGGCTCTGGTGATCCTTCCACCTGAGCCTTTCAAGTAGCTGGAACTACAGGCGCATGTTACCACACCCAGCTAATTTTTGATTTATTGTAGAGACGAGGTCTCCTCAAGTTGCCTGGGCTGGTCTTGAACCCGTGGGCTCAGGCAATCCACTCTCTTTGGCCTCCCAGAGTGCTAGGATTACAGGCTGAGCCACTGAGTCTGGCTTTATCATACTTCTTTATGAGGGAAGATATATATATATATTTTTTCTTTTTTTTTTTTTTTTG